GCGGGCCTGGGCTGGGGATTCGAACCCGCCACCTTAGGTGTATGTGGCTGGCGCCTTAGCCAGTTGAGCCACAGGCGCTGAGCTGGGAGCCCTAAATCTTAAGATTAAGCCTCTGGTCTGTACAGTTCAAAACATTCTCATATATTTTATTTCATTTAGTCATCTCAAATATAGCCCAATTTTTTTTTGGGGGGGGGCGGAGCTGGGTTTGAACCCACCACCTCCAGCATATGGGGCTGGCGCCCTACTCCTTTGAGCCACAGGTACTGCCCTGTAGTCCAATTTTGTCTCCAAATTTTACTGCCACCTTGTGCCTCATGCTGGACTGCAGGACTCCTGTGGCTGCTCAGTGTCAGGGGAGAGGGTCTCAGAGGGCACAGAAGAGTGATTTTGGAGCCAAGTAATCAGGTTCCAGCCCCAGCCCTGCCATTCTGTGTGTGACTCTGGCACATCACTTCCCCTCTCTGGACTTCAGTTTCCCCAACTGCAAAGGGAGAATTAACACTGCACAAGGTTTACAGATCTCAAAAGGGCTTATAAACCACTGAGTGTTGTGAAGAGGTGGGACAGGATTCATTCTCTCCCCTTGCCACCTGTTGGGCTCCAACCTGTGATGAAGCTGAAGAGGGACTGGATATGGGCCCGGTCCTTAAAGTAGGAGCGGCTGAGGCTGTTCCATATGACGTCGGAGACTTTCTTCACCAGCTCACGGCTGGAGACACCTCCCTCTCGAGGGTAAAGAGACAGGTCAACAGCGCCACGGATCTGGGCAGTGAAGCGGGCATAGAGGGCGGCGATGATGGATAGATCAGCCACAGGAAAGTAGGTGAGGCCACCAGGGGGGTCAGGCGCAGGGCTGGGCTGGAAGGTGAGCTCCGGCACGTTGGTGGGGATGACACGGTTGACAGCCAGGAAATGCTCCACGAAGCCTAGCACCAAGGAGAGAAGCACCAGGTCCGGCTCCTCTCGGCCCAGCTCCGCAGCAAACAGGCGCACCACGTCGTCGATGGAGCGCAGCGGGAACAGCGTCTTCTGGGCGGCCTTCAGCCCCATGGCGGCGGGCGGCGGCCTGCGGGCGAGCCAGCGGAGGGAGGGTCGGGCAGGATCGGCTGCCAGGGAACCCCCTCCCAGGCTCCGCTAAGGTTCCACCCCCAACACACATAACCACGCCCCTGCTTCCCTGCCTTTAGCCTCCGCTCACCAGCTCCCCTTCTTTTGTCGGTGAGACCCTTCAGCAGAACCTATAGGGCCTCCTTATCCCCCACAACCCCGGGACCCCCAGCCCCCATGGGGGAGCGCCCCAAGGACCCTGCTGAGGACTTCCACTGGCCACCCCGTTTCCTCCCTACGAATGTACCCCGGGCCCCTAGCGTCCGTCCGGAAAGCGCACCCAGACCAACCCCCCCCCCCCCAAAGCCCCAAGGAGAGACCTGGCCTCGGTCCCCCGCGCCCACCTCCGCGCTTACATCCCACACAAGGCACCGCGGCACCCGCCGCCTGGAGCCTGCTGGGAAGTGAAGTCCCGCCCTCGGGTCGCACTGCCTGCCGGGAAGTGAAGTCTGGCGGTGGGGCGGGACGGGCCTGTCCGCGGTGGCTTGTGGGAGGGGTAGGCCCGCTGCTCCGGGCGCGGCCTTTCTGCGGTGTTCAGGCTTGGTCATTCCCTTACCGCAGGCCAGGTAGCACGAGGTCCGCGGTGCCTTCTGGGAGATGTAGTCTGGGGAGTGGCTGCGCACACTTAGGCAGTCACCGTGCTTCTGAAGGTTCCGTTATCATTAGTCGTTGGGCAAGATATGAGGGAAATGGGCATTTTTTTTGAGATTTCAAGGGCTTCTTTATTGATATATAATAATTGTACATGCTTATGAGGTGCATGTGATTTTTGATGTATGCATACAATGAGTAATGATCAAATCAGGGTTTGAGAATGTCCATCTCCTCAGATGTTTATCATTTCTTAGTGATGAGAATATTTCTTCTTTTCTAGCTATTTTGAAATACAATAAATTATTGTTGACTAGAGTCACTGTACTGTGCCTATTCCAGTATTTATTCCTTGTATCTGGCTTTATATCTTTGCCTGTTATTAACCTTTCTCTTTCTTCATGTCCCACTTTAGCCTCTGGTAATTCTTATTCTACTGTCTACCTCATGATCTCAGGAAATGGGCATTTTAAACACTGCTGGAGTTCAGCTACGTTGGTTGGATATTTACCAGTATCCATTAACACGTATATGTGCAGACTCTGTGCCTAGCAACTCTTCCCCAATTCTGTCCATAACAAAATCCAACACGTGTGAAGAGGAACATAGAACCACTGTAATTACTTGTGATAAGGTAAAAGTTAAAAAGAGCAAAGTAGCTCTATGTACCCTAAAAGGATTTTCAGGGCATATTTTTTAAGGAAATAAGCTACACAACGATGTGTGCTAGGATAGTATTCATATAATACAACATTTTAAAACTTTGAAACAATATTAATTTTCCACAGAATCATTCATTTATTTGCTTGTTCATAAAACAAACAGAATTTTTGTACCAAGAATGGGACAGGCACTCAGTACTGGGCACTGGGTATATAGTAGTGAATAAAAGAAACTCAGGGCTCGGCGCCTATAGCTCAACCGGCTAAGGCGCCAGCCACGTACACCTAAGGTGGCGGGTTCGAATCCCCAGCCCGACCTGCCAAACAACAATGACTGCTACAACCAAAAAATAGCCGGGTGTTGCGGCGGGCGCCTGTAGTCCCAGCTACTTGGGAGGCGGAGGCAGGAGACTCGCTTGAGCCCAGGAGTTGGAGGTTGCTGTGAGCTGTAATGCCACGACACTCTACCCAGGGGGACAGCTTGAGGCTCTGTCTCAAAAAAAAAAAAAAGAAAAGAAACTCAGGACTGGCAAGGTGGCTCGCACCTGGAATCTTAGTACTCTGAAGAGGCCAAGGTGGGAGGATCACCTGAGCTCAGGAGTTCAAGACCAGCTTGAGCAAAATCAGACCCGTCTGTACTAAAAATAGAAAAATTAGGGGCAAGGGTTGTGGCTGGCACCTGTAGTCCCAGCTACTCTGAAGGCTGAGACGAAAGGGTCTCTTGAGCCCAAGAGTCTGAGGTGCTGTGAGGTATGAGGCCTTGGCACTCAACCCTAAGTGACTTAGTGAGACTCTGTCTCAATAAAGTAACAACAGGGCAGCATCTGTGGTTCGAAAGGGTGGGGCACCGGTCCCATATGCCAGAGGTGGCGGGTTCAAACCCAGCCCCGGCCAAAAACTACAAAAAATAAATAAATAAATAAATTCCTGTTCTTCCTCTCTGGATTTTCCTCAAAATCCTTAACCTTCATCTAATCATGAGAAAACAACTGGTAAACCCAAACTGAGAGACGTTCTGCAAAATATTCAACCAGTACTTCTCAAAAGTGTCAACATCATGAAAACAAGGAAAGACGCAGAAACTGTTGCAGATACGACTAAATAGACGGGAGAAGTAAATGCAATGTGATGTTCTAGATTGAATCTTGGAACTAAAAAAGGACATTGGTGGAGAAACTAATGAATAAGTTGACCAACCATCCCAGTTGGCCCAGAACTGGCAGTCCTCCCATCTCGGCCTCCAAGAGTACTAGCAGGGGACTCAGGGAAAAGGGACTTTCTGTTTTAAAATCAGTCAAGTTGGGGCTTAGCAAGGTAGCTCATGCCTGTAGTCCTAGCACTCTGGGAGACTGAGTTGTGTGGATTGCCTGAGGTCACAAGTTTGAGACCAGCCAGAGCAAGAATGAGATCCTGGGCTCGGCACCTGTAGCTCAAGAGGCTAAGGCGCCAGCCCTATAGGTCAGAGCTGGCGAGTTTGAATCCATCCCAGGCCTGCCAAACAATGACAACCAAAAAATAACCGGGCGTTGTGGCAGGTGCCTGTAGTCCCAGCTACTTGGCAGGTGCCTGTAGTCCCAGCAAGAGAATCACTTAAGTCCAGGAGTTGGAGGTTGCTACGAGCTGTGAGGCCACAGCACTCTACCCAGGGCAACTGCTTGAGGCTCTGTCCCCCCACCCAAAAAGAATAAGATCCCATCTCCACTATAAATAAAAAAATTAGCAGGGCATTGTGGTGGGTGCCTGTAGTCCGAGCTACTCAGGAGGCTGAGGCAAGAGGATCTCTTGAGTGCAGGAGTCTGAGGTTGCTGTGAGCTATGATGCCATGGCATGCTACCAAAGAGACAAAGTGAGACTCTGTCTCAAAACAAAACAAAAAAAAGTCCTAACCCCAAGTAACAGACTAACAGACTCTCCTTTGATTAAAAGATCTCAAAGTTTTAAATTCCCTGCCATCACAGGGCTATATCCCATTTGCTTCTACCCCACTTCCTCGTGTTAATCATTACATTAGATTTTATCAAAGACTGACTTAAGAAGAACAAAAGCCTGGAAGACTTTATTTACTTCACCCCACCTTTGACCGCTCTCCTCCTGTTTTTATGGTTCTGACATGACAGCTATTATGGACCACAATTTCTTCATAATAACAATTGTTAGGCTTGGCGCCTGTGGCTCAAGTGGCTAAGGCACCAGCCACATACACCTAAGGTGGCGGGTTCGAATCCCCAACCCGGGCCCGCCAAACAACAATGATGGCTGCAACCAAAAAATGGCCAGGCGTTGTGGCGGGCGCCTGTAGTCCCAG